CCAACCCCTCTCCTCCCCCCCCCCCTCCCAAAAAAAGGGGGGGGGGGTCCTACAGACTCGACTGAAATCCCCAGCCAATGATTTGTCCCGGTCAGCATTTTGAGCTACTAAGAAAGTATAGGTATTAATCCAGCGCTTTGAGCGTGCGCCAGCGTTTTCAGCGACTGGGAAAGATAGGTATCAATCCAGTAGATCAGCATACGCTTCAAAACTTACCTTGGATTTTTAGATTTTTTTCAGTTCTCCATAATGTTACTCATACATTATTGTATTTGTGTTATATTTACTTGATCAATTTTATCTAAAAATATTGTTTCGAACGGTATTGCCCACCTCAGTCTGGAAGATATACGATCCGATGGATCCAGAGCCGTCAATGAGGAATACGAGATCGGTGGCTTGTACAGGGCTAAATTCGAGGTTTTTCTACCGTTTTTGGCAGTCTCATGGACTATCCCAATGATTCCAACGATGTTCCTCACCAAACAGTGCTGAGTGTACAAACTCGTCCTGGTTCGAGATTCGCATTGGATGACACGTCCACATAACCAGCGAAACATTTACAAGTATAGCCATCAGGTAGTTGGACGCAGTCCGCATTCTCATCGCATGAGTTCATCTTGCGGTCTGAGCACTGATTGGCAGCTGAAATTGCGAAGGATCATATAGGCCTTTAGCGAGAAAGTGGGTGAATTGAAGCGTTCAGAGAACGATTGTCATGCGAACTGTCACAAATCACCGCACGCGACGTCGCTCGCGAAGTGCGGCAATACGGCATTGTCCTACGATCGCGCTCCCTGCGCGGCGATGAAGGCAAATTTCGCAACAACAGAATGGGAGGAGACTCAAGACCACTCTGAATCCTTATCAGTGCTTCCCTTCTAAGGAGACAGTGCACCGATTAGGAAGATAATGGTTGTGAGTCTCCGCCCATCCAATTTTTGCGGAATGCCACTTCAAGCGGTCCCATGCATCCTACAAAACTTCACTTCCAGCGCTTCCCTTAATAGAACACTGCAGGCGGCATTTTACTGCAGACAACCAGACCAGGTTCTAGGACAATGTGCTTTTTGCGCACTCGCTGTTAGTCCAAATGGTCTGGCGGTGAATGACTTGTCGCGCGTGGCAGTTTTACAGACGTGGTGTTTTCATACAGGCGCGGCTAAGAATGGAACGACATCCTTGGATCTCCGCAGTAAAAGTTAAAAAAAATCGACAATCTATCAAATGCTGCGTCGACATTGGGAATGGTTTGGCTTTATCCCTCTATAAATAACATTATTGTGTTAAACTTGGCCGCGGAGGGGTTCAAAGTGAACAGGGTCGGTAAGGAATAGGTCATCAAATGGTGTCTGCAACGGCCGTTCCAGTCGCTTGTGCACACTGTCATGTAACTGCCGCGCGCAGCACATCGCGCCGACGTCGCGTGCGACAGGTATTGTGATTTTTGTTCTGGAGAGTGCTGTCTTCACACAGTACCTTTTTTCAAGAACTCTCAATGTTTGTGGTATTGTTCTGCAGCATTTCGTACCTTGCGAACATTTTCGTCCGGGCTGAAGCTGATATCTGGACGAGACGTCCGTGTATCCCATTTTACACCTACATAGATAGCCTTGTTGCAAATCAACACATTCGGCAAACGGTGAGCAATCAGCTGTTCCATCTGCACACTCGTTAGTGACTAAAATGAGGGTTGGATCAATAAATCGATACCGATCTCTCTTCATAATGGATCTCCAAAATCAGGGAGGCTTTTGAGGCACAAACGTATCTAAAGTAGAGAGACCACTCAACAGTGTCTCTGCGCCTCTTCTCCTAGCGACTCTGACCGTCTGCGCTCTGCGACTGTAGAAAGAGACGCAGAGGCGTTGCCTTCCTTCCCTCGAAAATTGGTAGTGCCACTTTTGATATATAACGAGACTTACTTTGTTGGCACTTGCGTCCCGGCAGATGATATGGATCAGGTGACAGATCGATATATCCGGCCTGGAATTGCTATGTTCTCACTGGGGCACTTTTTCGCATTAGAGCTACACGTATGCAAAGCTGGACAATTAGGCCATTAAGAAGCGAATTGCGTCTGACCAGTTCTGAGCCGAAACGATAAAAAACGATGGAATCCTGGCGGCGGAAGAGATTTTATCACTAATCAAATGCAAGGACATTAGTTGGACAAATTGGCAATAAATGGGGCATATTGAAAGATGACCGGCGACTAATGAGAATTGGCTGGCTACATAAATGAAGCCGTAGGCACGCGACTGGGCTCATTCAGGTTTTATCGCTCACAACTGGAAGAACTAAGAAAATGGGTAATTAACGAAATGCTTTTGCAGTTAGGGTCTAACAAATGCTTTATAAGTGGGGGAGGCAACAAGTGAAAAGAGTGAGACGTCGAGTGCTGCGAAACTCGGTAGTAGGACTCAAACTCCTGAGTGACGACTGATTCCGCTCCAAAACTGCTTCGGAGTCTATCTCGGTGGGAGGGCGCAGACAAGCAGGCATGACGCGACATGGACGCCGCCCTCTTGTCATGAATATAGAGGCAAAATGTCAGGGACGGTGTTGCCAATAGTAGAATGAGTACTCGGAGAGCCGTTAGCAGCTCAACAGTGGCACAGTTATATGTCCAAGACCGAAATAAGGCGCCATCCTGGAGGGCTCAAAACCCATAAAAGCGATGGGATACTTGGAAATATTCCACTGCTCCGTTGTAGACCCGCTAGTGGGCCTCACTACCATCTTAGCCTTCCTCTCATAGAATGTACCAACGATCCTCCCATCGGAAATATTTTCTTTGTAGACACGCAAGATTGACTGGGATTTTACAAGATTTATAAGATTATTAATTACCTTGCACTGGCATTTGAATCCGTCGTAAGTATTCGAGCAGATCGCGTTTCGATCACATTCGTTGGCACGTTCACATTGAGAGAATACTAAAACAAAGGCTTTTCAATTTTGAGTAATCGATAAGGATTACTGTAGCCACCTAGGGTCGGTGTCCAGAACTGCTACGTGGTAATAAGTGTACTATCGAATGTTATACTTACGTTGAGGCACAGCTTGAGTTTCATGAGAGAGGGCAGCAACATTGGGACTACATTCTCTCTCTCGGCGAGAGGCTCTAGCCCCTGTGCAACCAGGTCGCACTGACTCTGGTCGTCTGCGCTGCTCTTTTACTGGGCCTTTTAGAAGGAAAGAGAATACACGTCACTGCCGCCCCCTCCCTCCCCCCCTCCTCAAACGACTTCCTCCTGTGCTAACTAATTATGAGCTTGGCTATTGGCCCCACCTTCCCCTATTTTACCAGGTCTCCTATAAGCACATAGTCGGCCGTGTCAACGCCAAGGCATGCAGAATCACAAGAGAAACCTGCAAAGGCGCAATCCGCGATGACCGCATGGCGGGATCTCAGCTACTCCTCATTAGTCGCCCTCTCAACCTTTTCTCGAAAACGATGAGAAGGGCCCTTTGAGAAACCGAGAGTCTTTGACCATTTTTCTCATGCTATAATGGTGCGTACGGTCCATTTCTTAGCAAACGCTGGGCGTGTCAGGTCGGAGGTTAGGCACGCCATGCTCCGTCTTCACCGCTCCGAAGGCAAGCAACGCGACGATAATTTGCAAAAACTAGCGCTGGCACCGCTTAACCACCCCACCCCTGGACCGAAGGGCACCGCCATCTGCGCTGGAATCATTAACGTGAAAAATACGACCCCCCCCTAACCATCTTCCCAGTACGCACCCCCTCGGGGGGAGGTCGCAGTAACTTACGTCGTTCACAGACAGGTCGGCCAGTCCAGGAACTCTGCGCTCGGTGTAGCATACTGACAATACGTACGAGGAAGGGACGATGATAGGAGCTACAATCACCGCCCACAAGGGCACCATGAATTTATAATTAAGCAAAAGGACTCACGACGTGACGATTAATAAACCGATGAAAGTACATTCCCGGACTTTTCTGATCGTAGGAGCACATTTGCTTGCAATTGGGAAGCCGCTATCTAGAAGTTACACCTTCCAAACACCTGCGTGAAAGCCCCATGCATGGCGCATTGCGGCGAGAGGGGAGCCAAGCGGCGCGCGAAGGAGCGGCTTGATCTTCCTGAGTCCTGCTTTGCGAAAACATGTCTCTTAGAAGCATACCAAAGTCATCAAGCCAACCGGAGGTTCATGGCCTCGGAGGGGTTGATTTTTCGGTGTCGTGGGGGGTGATTACAATATGATCACAACGGGGAATTTTTTCGAATAGTAGGTCTAGGAAGGAAATTAAAACCTTGCTGGAAAGTAGAAATCTTCAAGCTTCCGGCACAGTTCTTTTTTTTACGAAAGGTCGTGTATGAAGCTTGCCATGGACGTCCAAAGCGTAGCGACTCGCGGTTCGCAAAAATGATCACAGATGGATCACAAAGATGATCACAACGGGAAATCCTGGACAGCTTCAGCTTTTAAAATGTAGCTTCAAATTCAGGTGACAAGAGCCAACCTAGCTCTACTCATTCCCACTTACCCCTCTCCGATAGCTTCACTTTCAACGAAGTTATGGGCGTTCAAATGAGGGGTACTTTTCACGTGTTTGGCTTGAAACTGGCTCCAGGCCGTAAAATAGCGCGCACCAATGAGCTTGTATAAGCGCGCTGACCGCGAACAGCCAAAATTCAAAAGTAATCCATAGTTCCGGTTCCCAGCTGACCTGGTGAGTTTTTTTCTTATCTTATTCTTTTTCTTATTTGATTGTGAGTTTTGATTGTTTGTTTTTGTTGAGTTTGGTTTGTTGTTGTTGGTTTTGTTGTGAGGAAATTGCTCAGGATTCAATTTCTACGGCTTTCATAGGTAGCTTTTGCAATGGATTCTTTTCTAGATTTTGCGATTAGTGGATTGGGATTTATCTAGACCAGATGAGGAAGTGTCTTGAAGTTTTTTGTGAGGAAAGGAAAAGTTTCAGCAATATTTTTTTTTAATTCTTGACTTAGGAATAGTTCGATAGTGCCTAGTTCTATTTATTGTCATCTACATCGTCCCTTTTGAGCTTCTTTTCACTCGTACCGTGTATATCAAGCGCTCTCTCCGCACTCAATTCACATGGCCAGTGCGTACGACCCCCCCCTCGATCTCGCGGCAATACGACCCGCCTGCTGTGAGGATCAAGAAGAGATGGCAGCCCTGCCCCTTGGGACACCCCAGCTGCTGCAGCTGAACAAGTTCGGGTGAAAATCCCCATAGAATAGGAATATGGTGCATTTTTCCTCTCATGTCTATAATATCAAGCGAATGCGCAGAATTTCCGCACGGGACCCATTCTTGAACGTACCTTTACATTTGCCATCGCTTTGCTGAACCGATCCACGTTTACATTGGCAGACCATCTCTCCCTTGGCGTTGAAGCGGCATTCCTCATTGGGACCACACTGCTCCGAACTCGTGCACTGAGGCTGGAAATTTAACCCAATTTAGTGAATATGGCATGTCGAATGACAAGTTTTCCCTGAAAGTTAAATAAAAGCGCGGCTAGAAACCTGTCGGCTAGTTTGTCCGTAGTGCTCAGGGGATTTCGGCCGGTTACAGACTCGACCTGGATACTTAGCGGTATCTGGTGAGGCGTCCACGAATCCAGGGCGACATCTGAAGAAGTGAATTCAACAGAATTCAAAGGTTCTATTAGGAAAACAGGAAGAGACTTACTTGCATTCATAGCCCTCGTCACGGTCGAAGCAGTCAGCGTTACAGGAACAGTCAGCTTTACCCGTCGTACACTCGTTCACCACTTCGACGCACTAGAAATGAAGGAAAATTAGGTAAAAAAGTTGGTTGGTA